CTTTCGAGACCTGATCCTTACTCCCACAAGAACCTAATGAAATGACTAAAAGGTAAGAGAGGGGGCTAGCTTTATAGCAGATTAATCATGCATGTGCACGAATTTGCTCTCTCGATATCTGGCATCTTCAAGAAATGATCATGATTTTTGAGTACTTCAAGAGATCACTCTTCTGGAGTGTTTACATTAAAGAGGTAATCAAAGCAAGTGAAATGATTTTCTGTAAAAGTTGTCACGATTTGTCTCTTCGATATTTCTCCTAGGCTAGCGTAAGTTGAGGTCTCTCACCATTGACACGGAGTGTGTACTAAGTTTAAATTCACTGCAAATTTTTTTTTGTTATGTTTTTCACAGTGCTAGCTAGGTTATTGTTACATGCATGCGTCCGTTGTCTGCATTTTATGTTTCCCACAAAAGTAGCCTGTATATTGATTTCAGCATATTGGTATCAGTTTATCATGAATTCAGTCAAAATATTGGGCTTATTTTGCCGAAAAAACTGCCAATATTCGCTCTACCACTCATGAAATTTAAATCGAAAGTTCGGGCGCAAAATGGGTCTTTTTTTTGCAAAAATAACTTCATCCAGGTTTGGGCCTGGCAGTTTTCAGTTTTGTTCTCCCAGTTACTGAAGACTTACAAATCCTTGTAATAACATTACTGTATCTCTATTAAATTTTATTCACTCTTCAAAAACACTTGTGGTTAAACCGATCAAGTGTTTATCAGAAGGGTGAAAGAAAGGAAAGACGGAATTGAAGTAAGGGGGCTGTTGAAAGAGGCATGCAGTTTGTCACGCAGAGAAGCCTTACTAAATACGTTTTCATCACATTTTTAAGTATATAACTCTAGACGGATTTAGAAATATGGGTGTGGTTGTGTAAAATACTTGAATCGAAGATCAAAGTATCGTGAATTTAAAACTTTTTTGTCAGACCTTGCAACCTTTTAAAGTTACCCCTTTAAGCTTTTTATCGATAATAATAATAATAATAATAATAATAATAATAATAATATGTACGATTAACTTGTTTAAGACTAGCGGTTAACAATATTCAGTTCAAAACTCGCTCATTTATATCTTTACGTGATCAAAAATAATACTCTGTGCTAACTGTTACAATTGATTTCCAAAAAAAGAAACGAAAAAGGTTTCCGTCTTCCACATTAACGCAGAAAATGAAATGTAACGGCTTTTCCTATGGACAAAGAAAACTGTGAGCAATATAACAAGGTGTTCATTATTAAAAGGGTGACCTGAAAGTTGTGTTCGACTTCCTTTTAAGTTTGAGGCTTCTTGTTCATTTTCTGAGTAATCCCACGAAATTTATAGCTTATAAGAGAACCTTATGGTATTGAAGCTAACTGAAGCATAAAGAAAACTGAGTGAATAAATGGTGGAAAAAAAAAAATAATAAAACAAATAATATAAAAGAAGTTTAAAAGTTAGAAAGAAAATTGGATATTTTGCATTGAGATAATATTATCGTAATTAATGTAGAGAGGCATTAGTGTCAATAATATTAAATGTATCTGAAACAGAATTAAGATTCTTGCAGTATAATAACGGTTTTACCTTTTTTAAGCACCTAGCGTTATCTCCATCTAAAGGGCCATGAATTCAAGCACGACTGTACATTATTTTTAAACCTGCGATTGTTTTAATAAGTGCTACAAAAATCATTTTTTGGCATCTTTTCAGGATTTGGCTCATGGACTATAAGCGCCCAAAAAAAAAAACAAGGTTGAACACGAGAACGCGTGATTCTCTGTATGTAAACTGATAATAAACGATACTGGGGACACGCCGGTCAGTTTTTGCCTGATCCCTTAATGTTAGTTTAGGGGAGGGGTAGATGAGCAGTTTCCCTCTCGTTTCTAAAGTGGAGAATTCAAGCCGAAATCGGTTTAGTTCACTGCAGAATGCGAACGTTACCGATGGAACCGTGATGCTGTGATGTTAAATCCGACGATTTATTAAATAAATCTATGCTACCTTAAACCGCATACAACGATGGCCGCGGTGGTATCACCAGAAACGACACTTAAACAGATTTATGTGACAACCCCTCATTTAACTTAGTCCAACATTCAGTCCTGCACAAAGCATTATTCTTGAAGTAAATAGGATTCATTTTTTCGCAAACCACTTATCCAGTCGATATTTTTCTGAACTTCTGTCGGAAATTGCAAACCGCATTATATGCTTCTGATTTAAATTAACCGCATCTTTATAATGTGTTATCCAATTAATAGCTTGACAAATTGCTTTCAACTGGCTTAAAAGGTGTACTATTCGCTCATGTCATCGGGTAATAACCTTCAAGTTGTTCTGCCTTTATATTTTTTTTCCGACGGAAGAAAAAAAAAGAAAAAAAAAAGTATTCTCTTATAATGACCCCGACTGAATTAAGTCCTTTATGAATATAATCATTACAAGTAGCTTATAGTGGACATCTCTTTGTGTATTAATAGTATTTTTATTTTAATATATTTTTTTTTCAGGAAATGCTACACGTTTTCATTTCCACTTTAATTTGTCAATTCTGCTAAACAGTTAAATGATCTTAATTTAAAGTAAAACCTATTTTCTCTTTTTGTCCTTCATACGTTGAAAGGTCCGTAAGACACTTACTCATATTGGCTTACTGTTCTTTAAAATCGGTAATTTGTCAGTCGGAGGTGCAGAGAACGAACTGAAAGCGAGCGTGGATAATTCATCCCGACATTGCAAGGTTGTTATGGACAGCTCACAACATATCATCATGTATAACGGGTCGTGTACTCTTGATGTCTCTATATTTATTTCTTTAAGCCAAGCCCCATTCGCATAGTAATTTTCTGGGTATGGGAAACCTTCTTTGTTAATTAACAGCTCTCACGGGGAATGCCAAAGTTTTGCTAGCCCTCCAACGCTGCTCTTTACTTCTTCCGTCATCCAAAGCTCTCTTCTTATAATCTATCAAATGTTAAAATTTTTCAAAAGAATAGCTTATTTCATCCCGAGATGATCATAAGACCTTTATTTTGCTTTAAAGATACAAAAAATACAGGTCAATTAATATTTAACTTTTTGAAACAGAAGAAGTTAATTTTTTACTTCTTTGTTAACCGTAACTGAAAAAATTAATCGATAGCCGTAGAGGAGCCAAAATTTTAGCCGATAACCGTAAAGGCCACTACCCCATTGAGACCCTCAAATAATCTGTATTGGCCACATTTAAACAGTACTTTCTAGACTTCAAAGAGCACACTTTTACGTAAGGGCTTTTTACTTCTCTCTGCATACCAGCAAAAATTTATCTTTTTTTCCTCTCACTTGAATAGCATTTTCCAATGTTAAGACGGGTCAGTGGGATGGAGGCCGCATGTATGGTTAATGGTTCATATTTTGGCTTTCCTATGGCTCACGGTTAAACCGAGTAAAAAGTAAAAAAACCCTCAACTAAATAAATTTAACAAAATACTAATAATAAAAATGACAATAATAATAATAATAATAATAATAATAATAATAATAATATTTAAGATAAACTTGTTTAAGACTAACGGTTAAAAATATTCAGTTCAAAACTCGCTTATTTATATCTTTACGTGATCAAAAACAATACTCTATGCTAAGAATTGATTTGATAAAAAAAGAAACGAAAAAGATGCCCGTCTTCCACATATAATAGCGCAGAAAATGAAATGTAACGGCTTTTCCTATGAACAAAGAAAACTGTGAGCAATATAACAAAGTGTTCATTATTAAAAGGGTGACCTGAAAGTTGTATTCGAGACATCCTTTTATATAAGTTTGAGGTTTCTCGTGCATTTTCTGAGTAATCCCACCAAATTTATAGCTTATAACAGAACCTTATGGTATTGAAGCTGACTGAAGCATAAAGAAAACTGAATAAATAAATGGTGGAAAAACAAATAAAAATAAAACAAATAATGTAAAAAAAGTTTAAAAGTTAGGACGAAAATTGGATATTTTGTACTGAGATAATACTCCGGTAATTAATGTAGAGAGGCATTAGTGTCAATAATAATCAAATGTATCTGAAACAGAATTAAGAGTCTCGCAGTATAATAACCTTTTTTAAGCACCTAGCTTTATCTTCATCTAAAGGGCCATGAATTCCAGCACGACTGTACTTTATATTTATTAACTAAATCTATGCTATCTCAAACCGCATACAACGATGGCCACGGTGGTATCACCAGAAACGGCCAATAAACAGATTTATGACAACCCCTCATTCAACTTAGTCCAGCATTCAGTCCTGCACAAAGCATTATTCTTGAAATAAATCGGATTCATTTTTTCGCAAACCACTTATCCAGTCGATATTTTTCTGAACTTCTGTCGGAAATTGCAAACCGCATTATATGCTTCTGATTTAAGTTAACCTCATCTTTATAATGTGTTATCCAATTAATAGCTAGACAAATTGCTTTCAACTGGTTTAAAAGGTGTACTATTCGCTCATGGCACCGGGTAATAACCTTCAAGTTGTTCTGCCTCTATATTTCTTTTCCGACGGCAGAAAAAAAAAGAAAAAAAAGTATTCTCTTAATAACCTTTAAGTTGTTTTGCCTTTATATTTTTCTAATATCGCATCCGACGGAAGCAAGTAATGAGGTAGAAAAAACAAAACAAAACAAATGAAAAGAAAAAAGAAAAAAAATAGTATTTATTTTATTGTTATATTTTTTACAGGAAATGCCACACGTTTTCATTTCCACTTTAATTTGTCAATTCTGCTTAACACTTAAATGATCTTAATTTAAAGTAAAACCTATTTTCTCTTTTTGTCCTTCGTCTGTTGAAAGGTCCCTAATATAAGACACTTACTCATATTGGCTGAGCTTCAAAAGCTCATTAACTTATAGTATTCTTTAAAATCGGTAATTTGTCAGTCGGAGGTGCAGAGAACAAACTGAAAGCGAGTGTAGATAATTCACCCAGGCATTGTAAGGTTATTATGGACAGCTAAAAGCTACATATCATCATGTATAACGGGTCGTGTACTCTTGATATCTCTATATTTATTTCTTTAAGCCAAGCCCCATTCGCATATCATTTTTTGAGTATTGGAAACCTTCTCTGTTCATTAACAGCTATAACGGGGAATGCCATAATTTTGCTTGCCCTCCGACGCTGCTCTTCACTTCATCCGTCATCCAAAGCTCTCTTCTCCAGCCTGGCACTATCTGACTTTGGTGTGGGTCTTGTTGCTCAACCACTGTTTGCTGCATACACGTTCGCCATAGCATGGGATAATCCCAGACTATTCTGTATTATTGGTTTACCTTACAGTTTGTTTTCTTCTTTCCTGGGTCTTGTGTCCTTCTGTACAATCTCAGTAGTAGCTCTAGACAGACATCTTGCTTTGATTCTTCGATTCAGGTATCGTAAAATTGTCACTGTCAAGCGAATAACTTTGATTCTTATGGTAGCTTGGTTTTTGTCCGCCTTCTTCACTGTATCCCGAATCTTTAGCATCAATCTACGACGTATAGCTAGTAACTTGATGTTGGTTTCCTGTCTTCTGCTTGCCTTATTTTTCTATCTCAAGACATACATCAACCTCCGTCAGCATAAACTCAGAATGGAGAGTTCTTTTAGCGTTTTCTACTATCGCAAATCAACCAACAGCATGTTCATTGTTTTTTGCCTATTTTTGAGTACTTATCTACCTTTCGTATTTGCTTTAGTTGTTGCTACGGCCTTTGGCTTCAGCAGTTTTCCCCAGCTTTTTGCGCTCGATATCACTTCGTTTCTCGCTTTGTTAAATTCGTCTCTTAACCCAGTGGTTTATTGTTGGAGGATCAAAGAAATTCAAAGGGAGGCAAAGCATTTGATCCGTAACAGCCATTCATGTTATTCCATCATCCTGGGTAGATTTTTCCAAAGCCGTGTCATGCCATTAAACACTTCACAGGGAGTCCAGCCTGTATAGGAATGGAGTCAAGTAATTTGTCAAACGTTTAGGTAGAACATTGGACAAAAATTAGGTCTATCAAGGATCTTGGGGCATTGGGGACTAGTGATAATAAAATATAGAAAGTAAGATTTTGTCAATTTTTACTGTACCTCATCAGCAGTGCCAAAAATGATTTCTTTTTCAATCAATTTACCACCTGTTATTTAGAAGGTTCGTTATTGCTAACCACTAATGGCGGATAGTTATTCATTGTATAGCAAGAGAGGATAAAGGGGAGAGAGAAGGCATCCCCCATACACACCCTATTCCATAGGTAATTTGTCTCGAGTTATTTTTAAGACCACAGATCCCGAGGGGGATTAGACAACAGCCAATCACATAGCGCGAATGTGTTTCGCGTTGATGAACCACGCTCAGAGGCACGCGTCCTTTACGAATTGACACTAAAAAAAATGGCGGAAGACGAGGAGAGCGATATTGCTATTCGTTTTGTCGACGAAAACGACGAAAGAGAGATTTCTGCAAAAGCTGTGTCAGCGAAACAGAAATTAAAAAAGAATCGCCCTTCCTCTCTTGTATAGAGCTACAGCACAGCAGGGAAATCCTTAACACGCTGAATATTTTCTCAGGATCATTTATAATTTACAGTTTGAAGAGAGCAATTTATGGTTTGATATTTATTCTTTTATTAGTCTTTTATTATTCAACAAAATAACACTTGGCGTCCTACTTGCTTTATTGTACAAACGACCGGTTTCAATAGACCGGTGAAATTTCTCATTTTATTAAAGCACTGAGGTTACGACAACTTCGAGTTAAACTGATTTCAAGAGTTGTCAAAAAGTCCAGCGATTCCCTTTTCCCAGGTGAGCGCCGACTCATTTACCTTCAATATTCAGAAATGCTCTCGATCTCTTTACGCTTTTATTGCCTTTCGCCCGACATGTTTTGCACGGGTTTAGTCATGCGAAACCTCCACGATATATCCACGCTGCACGCGAGGTAGCTTTTTGATCCCGATTCTAAAAATAACTCGAGACGAATTACCTATGGAATAGGGTGTGTATGGGGGATGCCTTCTCTGTCCCCTTTATCCTCTCTTGTTGTATATGTATTGATGTTAAACAAATAGTGCTGTCCTTCTTTTAGAAGCAGTTTTTAAGTAGTGGCTGATTCAGATTTTGAGTAAGTGGGTATCCTACGACATAGACGAAACTAAACTCTCACCTGGTAAGGCCTTTCTGCTAAACAGGGCCAAAATCCGTGTTCTGCCCCCCTCCTCCTCCTCCTCCCAGGGGGGTAAGCGGGGTTTGATTTGGCACCATGACTGGCCACTTAAAAAATCCATTGTCTGTTTGTCTGTTTGCAAATCAAGATGAGAGGAAATTGGAAACTCACTTCCGGTAATTCATTGAGTCTGTTGGGGGCCCAGAAAAAGAATATGGTCATGGGGGTGGGGAGGGTGGGGGCTCATAGTTATTGGAATCGTGCCGTGATTCTTCCACTCCTCCAGTCTGCTTCTGCCACCAAGGTTTTCTCATCAAAAGTTTCCTCCAGTTATTTGTAACAGATATTAAACTCAGAACGGCACTCAATAGTATCTGTCGTTATGTTGGTCAACTTTGTCGCGTTGTACGTATTTGTGGAATGAGGCCCCGTTTATATGGAGAAAAGTTGTGCCCGGAAAAAGATTCAGCCTCCCAGCCTAGTCAGCTTTTGCGACCCTTTGTTGCCCCTTTGTCCGTGCCAAAAGCTCAGACACTTTGCTCGCGCATTCTCTAATTGTCTCGCCTTGATCGAGCTTTCCCAGTGGGCGCTCCAAAGTGTTTTGGCGCGAGCTGGAGGGTGACCCTACATGTACCATAGTAGTAGGGTCACCTAGCTCGTACGCGGTAGAAATTTGGTTGGCCCAGGGTAGCTCGGGCGGGCTCTCGATCACTGTAATATGGACATTGCCTGTGTGTGAAGGAAAGATGTGAGAATATGATAACATATAACTTTTGAGTCACAAAATTCTCATACATCCGTTCAACTTTTTAAACTGACTTATTCACATACAAACGTTATTAAAATTTATCTCACTGATCTGTTTATTCAGACAATCAGACTGTGAACTACAATTCCAACAAGTTTTCTGCCACGTTTTCTGACACAAAGAAGTTATATTTGTCTCCTCTTAATATTGTCCAAGGGCAATTTTCAAATTCACTTTGTTAGCGATTGAAACACGGAGGCACGATAAGGATTTTGAACATGAGAATATATGGCACATATAGAACAATATAATTCTTCGAAGGATGTATGCTTCTCTTAAGGAAGTTAAGATTTTCTGCTTTAAGTTCTTTTTCATATTTTTTCCACTTTATACCTACTAAAAACTCTCTCACTCAGCCATGAATAGTTCCCGTGTTGCTTTTGTTTCATCTAGTTCCAGATAATATGCTTTTTGAGCTGTTTGTCTAACATAAGTTTGAATTCCATGCTTATTTTCCGTAAGATAACTTTTCTGTTTACGCCTATCTTGAAAAAAAAAAAAATGAAATAAACAATAAAAACAGAAATAAGACAATAATTTTTAGAAAAATAAAAAAATAATAAAAAAATAATTTACCCGTTGGTCGAAAAATTAATCTTTATAGCGGTGTTTTTACTTTTCAAAGAAATCCGGTCCTTGTTTACATATCTTTATCTTCTATCGAACTTTTTTTTTTGGTATCGCGTCGAACGCAGAATTTCAAAAAGTGCACTTCAAAATCTGCCCTAGGCTGACTTTGAGTTACGTGTTATCAAATGCGGTCCTTTAGTAATGAGTTTCTAAGAATAAGAAACAAAGCCCAGTTCCGTCAAACGTAACCAGGCAATGTAGGTATATTGGAACCATATAAACGATACAGAGAATAATACATGGTCGCGCGGAGATATGGAATTTATCTTCGAGTGTACACATCGATATCGAACGAGTGAGCGCAGCGAACGAGTGAGATGTCAAATGTGAACACGAGAAGATAAATTCCATATCTCCAAGCGTCCATGTATTTTTCTGTTTATTATATAAACAAGAATCAGCCATTCCATAAACCAAAACCATGCCATATAGTCGAGAACCCGACAAATGTAATTCATTGTTTAAAATACTCCAGTGTAAACTCGGAGCTCTACAAAGTACAGTAAAAAATAAATACAAATATTAAAAATG